TTGAATTCAGAATAAACTATTTCTGAGCTCTCAACGATGTCAACAGTTTCAACGACAACGCCAACGAAAACGCCAACGCGTTGTCAACGAAAACGCAACGGGTTGAATGCGTTGAATTTTTGCAATAAAACTGTCCGGTACTGTACATATTACTATGATACCTATATTCGAAAGGTTAGAGTTTCAAAAATTATTTCAACTTATCGCGGGGTCATCCGGGGTCACGAACGTCGAGCCATTTAAAGGATTTTTCTGGCTGGGGCCCATTTTGGGACTCTGTATTTTCTGATTTAAAGCTTTAATGGGATTGTTATTACTTCTGGATGTAGTCCTGTGACCATAGATTATATTCAAGTAGAATGGAGCCCATGTTACCCCTAGATTTCATTCAGGGTCACCCCAAAAATTGAAAAAAAACTTAATCGCTCATTCTGGACCCTACTTTAGGCAATCATAACTTGAAATCTAAAGATGATACTTTAAATCTGAGTGCAGATTCATAAAATTCGGCAAAAAGTAAGATAAAATTTGGCAAAAAGTAAGTCAGAATACCAACTTTGAGCTCTTTGTCTTGTCCGTAGGCCGAAATATGGCATTCTGAAATCCGAAATTATTCAAAATGTCACTTTTCGCGATTCGTGAGTGCGTAAAATGAGTCCAGCAAATTTCAAACGGCCATATCTCAAAAACGACATGGAGTATGACTTTCAAATTTTGCATGTGTTCATATGAGCAACATATCATCATTCTGACCAGATTTCATTAAAATCTGAGGGGGTCACCTGGGGACCTCTGGTTGATTTGACATGGAATGACTCTCCTTTTAATTGATTGTCTTTCAATATTGTAGATATTGAATTTAAAACTTTTAATTGATCTTTATTGTATTGTAATAATTTAGAATTTATATTGTATTTTTTTAGGTAATTAATAATATTTATTTTAGACTGAATTTTCCAATTTTAATTACTTTAACAATGTAATTAACTATAAGTATATTTTTGTAGATTTTCTATATAATATTTTTCTAACTTGATTGTATAATGCTGCCTGTTTTATATTGTATTTTATCAATTTTTATGTAAAGCGCATTGAACAGAACCCTGAAAATGCGCTATATACATTAATATTATTATTAATATTATTTTATACATACATACATACACATACACATATACATATATACATATATATAAATATATATACATACCCATATATATATACATACACACACATATATATATACATATACATATATACAAAACCTGATTAGGCTATCGCCCTGCATTGTAAATCAGTATGGCGCACCACAGACACAAGCTCCTGCGAGCTCCAACCATCACAACAATGATGGCGTACGGTAAGAATGGCCCTGGAAAAATGGCCCGGAAAAAATGGCCCCAAATGACAGGTAGGTAAAAATGGCCCCAATTATAAAATTCTGTATTAAAACTGATTTTTTTTTAAATCATTATGTGCATTTTTTTTAAACTGAAGTAATTTAGTTTTTAAAATGAATCTAACATCAAATAAATTGCCATTTACATTTTACTTTTTGCAGAAATTACATATTCAATGATAAAATATTCAAAGATAAAAAAAGAGTCATGAATAACACTTTTTATTTTTTTTTTCCATTTAAATGTTAAAAAAATAGCAACAACATAATCAATAAATCAACATAAATCATGCATTTATTAATACTAAAATAATTTATTTGTGGTCAATTTCAAGGAAGCGGAATCACAATTTTCAAGAAATTCAATCCGGGTATTGGTAAACCCCACAAACAATGAGTTTATATGAACATCAAATTATTATTATTTTTTTTAGAAAAAGAGAGTTTACAATCGTAATTAAAGGGTTTGGATGAGGTTCGCAGTGTGTTTGGAGGATTGTGGTGTATTTGCAAGTATTTTTTCACCAAAAAAATCAACATTTTAACCAAAAAATAGGTTCTTATGAATATTTAATTCTCTTATTGATATACCAAGTGAGTCAATCACAATTGAATTGTTTGGTTTTCAACAATGTGTCTTTGGAGGTTTTGGGGATTTAGCAATACCATTTGATCCTACCATAATTACTTTACCCTCACAATTACACGACATTTTAATTCTTAGCATAATTGCCATATTTACACAACTATGTATATAATATAGTATCTCAGTTTACATTATTTAGTATAGTTTTAGGCACCTAAATTTACTTGGCCGGGAGTAGGAACCAAGTGTGCAATTAAATAAGTTGCTTAAATAAATGCATTCCTAATTATTCAGTTTACTTTAAAAACAATATTTGATTAACAAATACTTCTTTGAAGTAAGCAGAACATTTGTTGAAGTAAAGTAAGCCTCCCTTTTCCCATACATGAACTTGTCATTCAAACACACAATTGATCCACATGCTTTAACTACTGTCTATTTGCACTGTTTATAACATGTAAAGTTATTTCATTTGATACTTAAATGTTCAATGGCCGTTGTTTTCTGATAATCTCTCAGTACATTATTTGCATCTGTTGTGTAACTGTATTTGTTATTGATTCAATTCTTGCTTATTACAGTATTTAAATATTTGAAGATTTAAACAAAAATATCATTTCTATTACTGAAACAACACTGCCACCAACGTAATCAGTCAATGAATTGTCTTTAATGTCGACTATCAATATCAGAACTATTGACAAAGCGATTGACAAAGCGATTGACAAAGCGATTGACAAGGCGATTTACTGAAACATAAAACAAAAATTCACCTTCATGTGAATAGAATTATGTAATCAACATAGTAAACATGATTAAACATTGAATCACAATTATCATTAAAATAAAGAAATAATCAGTACCCTAGAGAAAATGGTTAATCAATCTACTCTAGCTTTCCTTTCACACTAAATTATCCATATTCCCAATGATAGAATAATGCCATGAATAATCCATGAATATTCATGATTACCATGACAACCAGAGAGTACAAATGACTGGCCGCATCTCACCAAAGATACTAGAAATACAAGATAGAGTTCTCGCATTGTAAAAATGAGGCGGAAGTCGTGCCCAACGTAGGCGGCGCCCTTCTTTTTAACCATGCAAGTTTCCTATACTTCGTGCCCAACGTACAGGGCGCCCTTCTGTTGCTAAGTATATCCAGACGCAAAAGGTGCCCTTCCTTTTCACTAATGGAGGAAAACTTTTTCACTAAGAGTGCGTCCGGCCATGCGATTCTGCGCTGTATTGTTGTTTTATTCTTTACTGATTCATGATTATGCTTTAATTGTTTTGTGTATTATTTGGATAATAGCAACGATTTCTACCG